GGGGGGGGGACAGCCCTCAGGGACCGCCTTCCTAGCCTCCCCCAGGATGGCACAGCCTGTCTGTCCTGAGCAACCAGGAAGCTCCGCCGTTGGGTCCTCTTACTCAGTGTGTCCTGACCCCTCTGAGAACCGGAGTGAGCAGCATGAGGACACGCTGAGTGTGGGGCGCAGCAAGGCGAGGCGGTGATCCCGCCCCACAGTGCCCTTTGGCCCAGAGACTTCCCAGGGGCAGAAGGCCTTCTGCTGGAAGGCAGCATGTGGCGAAGGCTGTACTCTTGCCTCCACCACTAACGGCTGATTTCCTGGAGGGCCAGCTACGCAGCTCTGGGCCTGCTCTGGACAGTCTCTGCGCCCCTCTCCCTATCCTCAGCAACCCGCTGTCTGGGTCTCAGGTCCAGACACCTGTGATGTAGCTTGGTGACTCACCCAGCGGGTGAAATGCCCAGTCTTCAGCCTGCTGCTGCCAGGGTCTGCAAGGCCTAGAGCTCAGGTACAAGTCAGCATCTCCGCCCCAGAAGCCCTTTCTCACCGAAGTCAGGCAGGGAGGACCTAGAGGTTTGCAGAGCAGAGCAGGCCAGGGCGACTCCCCGCTGTGAGCCACATGCTGCCTCGAAATGCCCTCCAGCCAGCCGACTGGGCGCCACTCTGCGGGAGAGCAGGAGAAATGTGCCTTGGCACTTTCTGAGCAACACAGAACCACAGCAGGGTGGGCTCCTGGATCCTCCTCAGTCCCAAATTTGGCTAGCGGCCCATGCTGCCTGGCACATCTGGAGCAAGGAGCTGGTGGCGCAAAGATGCAGAAAGAGGCCGAACAGGCCCTGGAGTAAGAGCCTTCACGTTCCTTGGCAGAAAGCCACACCATCCCAAGCCCAGAGTCCTTGGGCCACTTCATTTCTCAACAAGTGAGAGTCAGTGCCCACTGTCCAGGGCATCTGAGAGAGAGAAATCCATGGTGACGTCTCCAGTGTGGGGGTGAAACTCCACAGTGTAGTTGACAGTCACCCAGTGAGGGTCACCCAGTGGCACTCTAGGGTCCCACGTGGTGCTGAAGAAATACACGGCCTGCTTGCAGTGGGGGTTCCAGCAACAGTCCCCCTGCAGAGGAACAAGAAGTCTGTGAATATTCTTATGCCCCAAGCCTCCTCCTGGCAGGTCTCCAGCCCAGTCAGCTTATAATGGAAACTGCTGCTCAGGGCCAAGAGTCCATTGAGGGTTTCTCATCTGGCTAAAAGTGCGGGGAATACCCAGAGTGCATATGGGTGTCTTGTTCTCCCCCAGCAGCACCTGCTCTCAGGTGGGCCCCTTAGGGAAGCACATAAAGTACTACCTTGTCCTCTGCCGGTTCCAGGAGGCCGGTGCTGACCGTGCTGTCTGGGGTCAGGTGGTATTCCATCCACAGGACAGTCCCATGGCTCTTCCCAGGCCTGGGGGATGAGAGGAAGGGACACTGAGCAAACTGAAACAGTCACACTTGAGAGGGGTGGGCATGGCCATGACTCCTCTTTGCTTCCCAGAAACCTCTAGTTGTCCCAACTTCCATCCTCTCCATTAAGAAACTAGTAACCAGCTCTCCCTGGTGACGCAGCAGGTTAAAGCACAGCACTGAGAATCTAAAGCCGCTTCCGCATGAGTTTGATTCCCGCCTGTCCCGGAGGTGACCACATGGCGTGGCAGACCTCTCTTGACCCGCCCACTGCTCCCCTCAGCAGTGTACTTCGATCTGCCTGTTCTGCTCCCCACTCTGTCTCTGGTGAAGTCTCTCACCGTCCCTGAGCCTCTGGCCTGTACCCCAGTTCTGTATGCACAAATGAATAAATCTTAAAAAAAAAAAGAAAAAGAAACTAGTAACCAAGCCTCCCTGTTGGCACAAGGGGTTAAGTCTCAGCACTAGGAACCTCTCGGTAGCCACAACAGCATGAGTTCCATCCCCGGCCAGGGCGCTGACCCACATGGCACAGCAGACCTCTCCTGACCCGCCTGCTGCTCCCCTCAGCAGTGTATTTCAGTAGATCCGCCAGTTCTGCTCCCCATTCTGTCCCTGGTGAATCCCCTCACCCTCATTCCCCCAAAACACATACACCTGCTCTTGAATGCATACATGAATAAAATACAAATCTAAAAAAGAAAAGAAACTAGCAACCTTCCACTAGACTAAAGGCCACAGGGTAAAAGCTGACTAAGCAAGAGGAGCCACACCTAGTGCTCCCACTCAAGCCTGCAGTATGGCCAAGCACAGCCTCAGGCCACAAAGTGCATCCTGGAACCACAGGCTGAAAGAGCCCTCCCTGACACCCTGGAAGAAAGCCCAGACAAGGACTGTCCTGCCACCCCCTTGTCAAAGGACCCCTAAGGGGTTCGGCCTCCAGGTCTCCATCTGTTAGAAGTGGTTTCTTCCTCTGGGAAGGGGACTGGAGTTGGAGCTGGAAGGGGCTGAATGAAGCTCACAACAAGCAGCCTCGCCAATTTCTAACCTGCTTTAATCCCCAGGAGAGTACAGAAAAATGGTCCAATGGGTAACCATGACAACCAAATTCACGTTTCTCTGCAGCTGTGAGCCAACGCACTGCTTAGCTCAAAGGAAGCCTCTGTTGTGGGGGGTTGAGCAAAGTCCACTCCAGCTCTCCCTCCCCACCTGCACACACCCAAAGGTGCAGGGCCCTGCTATATACTCAGACCAGGCTGAGGCCAGAACAGTCGCCCTGCATGAAAGTGTCCACAGTGCCTAACCCCTGGCCAGGAAGTATTAAACACACAGCAGGCCTGTCCCTTGTAGGCCCCTGTAAGTGGACTCTCTAGGATCAAAGCCAAACTTACCTCCTCAGCTCGATGGAGCCCTCAGCACGAACAGGCTGCAGAGGAACTGGCTGCCGAAAATCAAAGGTGAGGATCTGCTGGGGGTCCGAGAGGCTGCGGCAGGGGTACTCCCACAGTGGGTGGGGCTCGGCCTCCTTGCTCTCCCTGAAGTCCAAAGCTTGCTGAGGAGGGAAGGGGAGGCAGGGTCTGCAGAGCCAGAGCTAACGGCCCAAGGGTCAAGCAGCTCACACCCTCATATCCAGGGTTTAGGCCTATGTTTCCCCTCACCTCCATGGTCCAGGTCCCTGGGGGAACAGCCAAGTCATCCGGCAAAAACTCCTCACAGAAAGACTAGAGGCTGATCAGACCAGCTGGTTCCTTCTTCCCTTTACCATTCACAAGCCTTATCTTTAGCAAGTTACCTCATCCCTCTAAGCTTCAATTACTTCTTTTTAAAATGGGTAACACTGCCCATCTCGTGCTACTTTGAAGACAAGTATCTAAGCAAGGAAAACACCTGTTGCTTAGACACTTGCCATCCAGTACCCCAGTGAGCCTACAGCTGCTGATTCACTCTTCACAGGCTCCCAGTTTAGGCGAGACCAGCAACCCCGGGCCTGGGGGCACACTGCCTTCCAGACAAATGAGGCTGCATGGGAAAGCACCTAGATGAGTGAAAGTCACACAGGAATTGGCAACAAGGTGACCAAACAAAATCAAGCCAGGGTGAAGCACACAGAGCAGACCAGGGTGAGCTGAGAGATGGGCAGTGAATGCAGGGTGACCACAGGAGTGAAGGCAGGGGTCACTGTCAGGGCGACAGCAGGGGAGACAGTGAGGAAGGGAGTCAAGGGTTTTCCTGCTGGGACAGACAGGGCCAAACTTAGGGACAACAGACATACTTGGGCTCTGAGTGGAGAAAGGCAGAATGCGCTAAGTGGGAGACGAAGAGGCAGCTTGGTCACTGGTGAGTTAAAAGCAGCCCAAAACAGAATAGTAGCAGCAGGGGAAGAAAACTGGACCAGTGGCTGCTCACTGAGCACAGGTGGTTGTGGAACCAACGACCAACTGCAAGTGAGGGTGAGGACTTGCGGTGTGGGCCCCTGCAGCCTGACTGGGTGACCAGGGGTGAAACGGTGGCAGGCTAGGAAGGGAAACTGGAAGGGGCCAGGCAGGGTGGAGGGAAGAGCAGGTGGGGTTTGGAAGCATCCCAGTCAGTGTGCCTAAGGACACTGCAGTGAAAAACTATCTGGGCTGCGCTCGGGGGGATGCAGACCTCGGGCAACAGGAGAGACGAGGCGGGGGCAGCCAGGCAGGCAGGGCAGGCCAGGACAATGGTCTAAGGGAGACCCAGAACATGTGACACCTAGGGGATGAGGATGGTGGGAGAGTCCAGGAAGGGGCCTGAGGAGTGGCCAGAGAGGCTGAAGTGTGCCATGACCGCACACAAAGGATTATTTCCAAAAGCATGGAATGGTTAGCGGTCTGCCACGGAGGAGCAGGAAGCATGAAAATATCCATTAGTTTTATTTACTTAAAAAAATGTTTATACAAGCAATCGACATTCACAATGGGAATGTGTGGACAGAAAGGTAGCAGAAGAGGAAAAACTGCTTCTTAATCACAGAGCTAGTATTTTTTGGTCTACTATTCCACCCCCATTTCTGTGTGAATTTTCTTAAAACAGATCATGTTCCTTGTCCTGCCCTTCTCATGTGCTGTACTTCACAGGGTCGAGTACCCTGACACTTGACTGATGAGGGCTGCCCGGGCTCTGGCAGCTGCTGCCCTAGTGCTGATCCCATCCCCTGCCACTTGGCATCAGGCCATGCTAGTACCTGCTGCACCACTAACCAGAAAGGACCCTCCTTCCACATCACTGTCTATACCTACCACCCTCCCCCGCAATGGAGGCCCCCAAGTGAAATGGCTGGCTCAGTAGGTTACCATGAAAGTGCCATCTGGAAAGACCATCCCATCAAAGAACAAACTACTGCTACGGGCAGGACTAGTTCTGGTGGCACACAGATGAGAGGTCACGGAAAAATGTGGTAACAAGAGCAAGAGGGAAGGGTCAGTGAGGCTGGCTGGGAACATCCCCAGCCCAAAACCTGAGGCAATCTTGCTGTTCCCATATACTTGGCAGAAACTTTTCCTTCCCCAACCCAAGGATGCCAGTTCCTGATTCAGGGCTTACACATAGGGTAAGAGTGGCTTGATACCAGACTCTATGACACAATGGGGCTCAGGTTCATATCCATGGTGGGCCAATCAGAATGGCAGCACCTGCCCTCCCTGTGCCAAATAGAGGCGTTCTCTGCATGCTGCTGGCACTGCCTACCGGGTCCTTTCATGGAAGCCAGCAGTCCCAGTCAGAGAGCTGTGGCAGATGAAGTGGGTAGGTCGGACACAGGGTGGGGGCTGAAGCCCCACCTACCTTAATCATGTCATCCATGATGTGCACATCGAAGCCTTCACAGTCACCGCAGGGGCTCCGGATCCGCCACAGGTCCTATGGCGAACACACAGCCCCTGTCAACACGTGCACCCCCGAGTACACGGATGTCCACACCTATGGTGGAGCATGGCCACACACCATGCCCTGTGGGAAGCACATGGACAGGGGCCACAGAGAAAGGTGGTGACAAGAGCAAGTGAGGTGGGAGGAGCCTCAGACCCAACCAGAGGCACATCTTGCTGGCAAGGACACCCACCCTGCCCCACCTCAGGTTGCAGGAACTTCTCTGAATCTGCAACGCCTCACAGACCCCAAGTTCTCTCCCACAAGGAGGTGGTCAAAGAAGAGCATCTAGGCTAGACTTTCTGTAGTCCCCATTCACACCATCCTGATCACTGCTTTGTTTTTTGTTTTTTCAGGAGAAATCTGTGAACCAGTTCTCAGTTCATGGAACCAGTACCAATACATGGAGCATGGGACCTGTGCCCTAGGTAAGTGGCTGGGAATAAGAACCTGCTCTCCCAAATCTTCTTTGGCTCTGAAAAACAAATTCATGTGGAAATGTGATCAGGTAAATACCTGACAAAAAAGAAATACCCGGAAAATAAATGATGGCACAACTAAGCTACCAACAGATAAAGCCATTGTCATAAAAGAAATATCAAATGAGGTTCACTCTACATTTCAGGTTAAAAGCATTTCACAATCCTTTTAATAAAAAAAAAAAAATCATTTCCCAAAATGACTTTGTGACTGTGGTTCTACTTTGATGAGAAAATTAAAATGAAGCTTTTCAATTTTTCTCTTGCACAAAGAAGCTGACTCTCCCATCTGAAAATGCTTTTAACAACTGGCGCCTCAGCATTAATGAGAGCAAAGCAAGCTGTGCAGCATGCCTTCTGAAACTCTCAAGTTATATATTTTAATTATTCTGATAAGCCATAATTGTAAAATGACAACACACAGCCATTTCCATTTCATTTCAAATGTCTGCCTTTTTAAAAGGCACGACTCTCCTATTCAGCTCCACAGCGTGCTGACACAGAAGAGCAAAGGCCCGACACGAAGGCCCGTGCTACACCACCTATGTGCAAGGTGTCTGCAAGAACATACCCTGAACTCTACCACCACCGCATGCAGCGAGGCAGCCTGGGGCATCACCACGGCGCCAGGCTCCAGGTGCGGGTCCACCGCAGTCCTCACGTACCAGAAGTACAGGTTGTGCCACGGCAGCAGGCTGGTGGTGAAGAATGGCTCACCCAGGAGGAGAGAGACCTGGTGATCAGAGCAAGACACAAGATCAAGTGTCAGAAGGATCTGACTGAACTGCTTAAGACTGAAGGACAAGTTGCAAGTTTCATGGAAACAAGGAAGTTAACAGGTCATTCACTCAGTCAACAACAAACATGCGGCACAGACAGGAGTCCTGCCCTGAGGAGGGCAGAGTGGAATGGGGAGCAGGCTGGGATATATGGTTGCACATTCAGGCAAGCTTTGACAGAAGCAAGGAAGGCCATGTGAAGGAGCCCCAGAGATAAGAACACAAGGAAGAGCTTCCAGGACAGCATCCTATAAACCATACTTAATTACCACAACTCTGTCTTATTGGTGTTTGTCTGCCCCCCTCACTGGCCTCTGAGAGAGAGAGCACCAAGCAACAGCCTTAGCTCAGGGGAGGAAAAGGACTCACAAAGGACCTAGGGCCAGCAGCCAGAACAGTAAGAGGGAGACCTGGAAACAGCAGCCTCCTAAAACCTGAAAGAAGCATGCTGAGAAGGAGGTCCCCTTGCTGGGTAGAGCCCAGGGGAGACCTTGGGAGACGGTGTTTAGTAACACAGTGGCCACTAGGAGGCACTTGGGTGAGAGGGATAGTTCTGAGGCACAGCCTGGGGGCTGAGGAACATCTGCAGGAGGAGGAAGGTGCGGCTGGGACAGACCTGTCCGGGGAGGGAAGAGGACATGGCCAGCAGCTCTGAGACCGACAGAGCCACCTGCCCAGACTTGAAGGAGCAGAGATCAGTCAGAATTAAGCGGCGTTCGGCTGCTCCCTGTGATCTCTGCCAGCGCCTCAGGGCACCCTTCATGGAGGCAAGGTCAAGGTTGGTGAATTAGGTGAGGGGCCACCAATGACTGTTTCAGGGCTAAACTGACGGGTGCCAACGCAGAGCCTCTTGATACTTTACCTTTTTGCCCTCCAAGTCTGCAGATGTCAGTAATTCAGGACGCTTCTCTATTACATTAATTTTATCTTCCAAGTGGTTAGCTTTGAAGATCTTAAGAGGAAACAAAACAACATCTCAGAGTTGCTTTATCTGCTTTCAGCTTTCTTGCCAAATAGCTCTGCAGCACTTTTTTTTTTTTTTAAATTACAAAAGTTTATTTTTACATCATTTTGTACATTTTTTTTTCCCATCTCAATTGTAATCCCCGCGGGTTTCCCATCACCAAGTCACCCATGTGCCATCACCATAATCCCGTGCATTTCTCCCCCCCACCCCCCACCGCGTTTTTGATCCCATTCCCCATTCCGCCCCCACAAAATGTCTATGGTATATGGTTGTTCATTATTTTTGTTATTTTCTCGCCTGGTCCATTATACTCCTGCTATGAGTGAAACCATCCGGTATTTTTCTTTCTCTTTCTGGCTTATCTCACTAAGCATGATCTTTTCCAGTTCCATCCAAGTTGTGCAGCACCACTTTTAACTGCTTGGTGGAAATTCTCCCTTCTAGGTACATCCTATAGATCAAGGAAGATATCACTAGCAAAATGATGTAGCGGCAACAGAAATTTCTCTTGCAGGCACATCAGCAGGACCTAGCAGTAGACTTGTACTTCTGGTGGCAGTGGGTTAAAGAGAAACCATCACCATGGAGCCAACCAGGCTGGTTGGCCTATGAGCAGGGACTCCCTGAGCATTGGTGTCCAGAAACAAACCAATCTATCACTGCAGAAATCTACTTTTCAGCTCTATGTCAAACTTCTCTATGCCTAAACTTCTGCTACCACAGTGAAAAAAGGTAGAGTGAACACACTGGCTTCTTCTCAGCAACAATCCTGAATCTCCAGGCCAGTTCTCAGCACGGGAGGAACATGAGCTCTCACTGGCAGCAGCTGCCCTGCCAACGCTGCTTCAGAGCAGATCAGGTGCTGGAAGAGAGGCCCAGAGGTCCCCTCATTATTCCAGAGACAATATCACTTACCTTTTTCATCAGTCTATGAGAAGCTGCAGAACTCTCTACTGTAAACACCTAAAGAGAGTAACACAATATTAGCTAGAGAAAGAAATTAAAGATTAAAATGGGGGAAGGTCATTTTACGGCAGAGGGCACCACCTTTCCTCCTGGGCTGGTGCTCACCACCCACTGGGACAGTAGCCATGTTCTACACTGGTGCTTGTCAGTGGCAGGCACAGCTGGCAGCAACGCAACAGCTACAATCTGAGTCCAGCCACACAGGAGTCAGTAAGTCCCAAAGCCCCTGGACCAAGCGCACACCACAAAGGCACTGCAGCGATGCAGCTTTACTCCCAGAACCGCGACCCCGAAGACACCACCCCAACTCCAGAACTGGCGGAGGCTCGCGTCCAGTACCTGTCCAGCCCCAAGGTGATGGGCCAGCATGGGGAGCAGACTGCCATCACTGACACACAGGCAGGCGCTGTCTGGCTTCAGCACCTGCAGAAAAAGAGCAAACTCAGATTAGGCCTCCCTGCAGTCTGTCAAGAAATCTTTGTTGGCCACCTGAGAGAATCGCTCCTTTTCCCCTGACCCCACCAACTTGGACTCTATGACCATTCGATCTGATCTCCTCACTACTCCCTACCACTGCCTGTTTGCTAGCTCTTTAGTGCCCCCACACGAGTCACGCTTGTCTCCCAAGCCCACACTCCAACAGACCCACCTCACTTGCCTCCCTACACAGTGCCCACTGTCAGGAAAGACCCTGCCCCACTTGCCAAAGCTGACCAGCTAAAGGCCTGCCCCACTTGCCGACGGTGACCTCCCAGTTCACAAGGCCAGGATTCCCCCCCGACTTGTCACAGCAGGGAGAGCTGTGGGCCTGCCAAGCGACTCACCAGAGGCCGGGCTCACAGATCCTGCTAAGGCAAACTCAGATCTCCCCCTGCCCCGCCCTGCCTCCATGCACCTGCAAGCACAGGCACGTATGCACATGTATTTCTGCACAAGACTCCAAGGGCTCCCCCCACTCTAAGACCCCAGGCCAAGAGACCCCTACTCTAGGCAGCAGGAGGCAGAGATTTCTAGGCAGAAGGCTTATTTAATCAGATTTACACTTTAGAAGATTTTAGAAAGGCAGCAGCAGATAAACAACAGGTGGCGGAACCCACTAGAATCATCCACAGGAGTTGCTGGTGATCACAAGGATAAAGCACCTAGCGGGACAAAGGCAGAGGCTAGCGGGAGCTTCGCAGCCAAAGGCTCTCCCAGGAGCACAGAGACCAAGCCCAGAAACAATCTCCCGGCTCTCTGCCTGCGTGCCCACCCAGGGGCCAACCGCAGGCGCTCACAGCACACCAGCCATCCTGAGAGAGCAATGAGCTGCGGTGCAGGGACAAACTCCTTCTCCTCCACAACTACCGGAGGGGCTGGAAACTCACAGTTCTCAGGGCCTGGACATACTGATCAGTTCTGTCCTGATCGTTGATCTCTCCAAACCGGGGCCGATTCCAGAGCAGGTGAGCCTGGCAGTCGCACACAGGGCGCACGGAGGGAACTTTCCCATTCTTTTGGGGGCTGGAACAGAAAATGGAGATGGGTCAATTAGTGTGATCTGCTAACTACCAGTGAACACAAGGATATGAAAGAGGCACCTGCCCCAGTGAAACTGAGACAGGTCCCCAGAAGTACACCCTCAGTCGTGTACAGGGCACAGCCTAAGCCCTGGCTCTGGGATACATTAGGGCTGCCACTGCTAGACTGACACATATATCTGCTCCAAACAGAAGCCCTAAACACAGTAGCCTCTTCTGAATATACGGGCAGTAACATCCAGGCTTAAACCTTTGCTCTCATTTTACCTGTTCAGATACAAATATGACCTCGCATGCCTCTACAGGATCTATTAAAGGGGGAGTTCCAGAAGTAGCATGGTGTCACAGGCCCACAAAGGCTCGGGACACACCTGGTGCTCTGAAGGCTGTACCATATGCAGTAGTCATCATGGTGGGCCAGCAGGCAGAGGGCTGAGCCCTGGACGACTGCCTCCTCTTCCGGCAGGAAGTACACACACTGCATCCAGTGATCCCGCCACTGGAATTAAGAGCAAAGCCAAAAATTGGTTTGTAGGGAGACTATGAATGGATTACAAATACCACTGTAACAGAAGAGATAAGGAAAAACATTCTCAAGTCTGAGAGGCTAGAGGCGCCAGTGCTTGTTTTAACACTGGCTTTAGGAAGACACAGCATGGCCGAGGCAGGAGTCTTCAAGAGGGACTCAGAGGAGGGGACAAGAGTGGGCTGCCACCAAGATGAAAGGAGGGGATAGAAAGGAGGGAGGGAGGAAGTAAATGTGGTCAATGCCAATGATTGGCAAATTTTTTTAAAGATTTATCTATTTATGCATACAGAACTGGGGTACAGGCCAAAGGTGCGGGGGCGGTGAGAGGATTCACCCAAGACAGAGTGGGGAGCAGAACAGGCAGATCGATGAAGTACACTGCTGAGGGGAGCAGCGGGCGGGTCAGCAGAGGTCTGCCGCGCCATGTAGGATCACCTCCAGGGTGGGCAGGGATCGATCTTATGCTGACGTGGCTTTAGCTTCTTATTGCTGTGCTTTAACCTGCTGTGCCACCAGGGAGGGCCCTGATTGGCAATTTTAAATAAAGAATATCCCAGGTTTTCAATCTGTAGATTTAAACTTTTTCAAAATAAAAATTTAGGAAAATATCAGCGAGGCTTTCTTCTGTTTATTCCTTCTGAAAGGCAATCATTTTGAAAGAACCAGAATAAACTGTGAAGTAGCTGGGCTCCCCTCAGCAGTGTACTTTGTTGATCTGCCTGTTCTGCTCCCCACTCTGTCTGCCATGGAGCTGACCCACATGGAGCAGCAGACCTCTCCAGTCTCTCCTCAGCAATATACTCCAGCAGACCTACCTATTCTGCTCCCACTCTGTCTCTGGTGAATCCTCTCACCTCCCACACCTCTGGCCTACATCCCAGTTTGTCTACATATAAGTCTTTAAAATAAATAAAAATAAATTGTAAAGCAGTTTACAATAACCCAAACCAACCTTACAAGCTACACTGACCCTTTTTGCTAATGCAAATCCACATACAAGAGCCTATCCTAAGGGGCGAGAATAAAACAGAAAGGAGAAAGGCTATGTTCACATTACTCTTCATGGCACAGAACTATTTACACCAGCAAAATTGGAATACACCCAAATGTCCAGCCTTAAAGAAATGGGTACACAAATCCTTATACAAAATATACTCAAACATTTAAAATGAAGATTATGGTGCAGACGAAGAAACATTAAAAAAAAGTACTGAAAAAAACACATGCATGTATAAAAAACCCAAAGGAGAGTTATTTTGGGTGGGAGAACCACAAAATTCTTTATTTATTTTGTTTTATTTTATACCAAGTTTATTACTCGTATAATGTTAAGCCTCTTTTAAAAAAAGAATGAACTCGGCCCTCCCTGATGGCGCAGCGGGTTAAAGCACAGCACTGAGAATCTGGGGCCGCTTCCGCATGAGTTCGATTCCCGCCTGCCCCGGAGGTGACCACATGGTGTGGCAGACCTCTCCTGACCCGCCCGCTGCTCCCCTGAGCAGTGTGCTTCGTCGATCTGCCTGCTCTGCTCCCCACTCTGTCTCTGGTGAAGCCTCTCACCACCCCTGAGCCTCTGCCCAGTTCTGTATGCACAAATAAATAAATCTTTAAAAAAAAAAAAAGAAAAAAAAAAGAATGAACTCCTAAAATAGCAAATGTCAGCCCCAAGTCTGGTGAACTAACTCTGCCATCCCCAGAAACTGAGGGGAACCTGGCCCTGGGAGACCCCAAGAGCGCAGCTCAGCTTGGAGGCAAGAAAGAGGACACCCGTCTCTCTCCTGAGGAACACATTCTCCGTGACCCTGTGTGTCCCTGCTGGGCTTGTGGGTCAAATCTGCCCAAGCAATTTTAAGCCAACTTGACAAAACCTGCTGTTCAAAGTGAGAAGACTCAACAGATGTTGTAAGAAAAGCAGTTTAGTGAAGTCATGAGGGAGATTCCTTCAAATTCCTAGCAGTCACCACCAGGGAAGGATGGACACAAGGCCCAGTTAGGAGACCTGGTGACCAGCACCCACCCACCCACCGCTGCTGCCTGCGGTGCACCCTGACAATCACTGAGCAGAGCCTTAGGGCTGCATTGGTTACCCAGCAAGTCTTATATGAGGACTCAAGGGGGAAATATACATAGAAGAACTCTGAAGATATGCAAATGAAAAGTATTAACATTTTTATTATAGTCTTATGCTAATTTTACAGCCAACACACTCCTGGAGAGGAAGAAAGCAGCCCAGGACCAGTTTCAATTCTGTGGGAGATTTCGGCCCGACCCCTCCCCCTGCCCCAGCTGGCAGAGGACAGGGCGGATAGCACCCAGCTTGTTTGCACAGGCAGTGTGACTCAGCCAAGTGCCTGGGGGTAGCAGAGATGGCGCCTGACCGCCATTCCACAGCAGTCCTGACCCTTTGTTCTGAACAGCAAATCAGGGAGCCTTTCCAAAGTCACCCCCACATATTTATATCCAGCAGGTGAGCAATCAAACAAGACCAGAGAGCAGGCAGAGAACAACAGAGGCTGGTGCCCAAGACTCCAGGGAGAGGGCAGGCTTGACTGCTCAGCCCTGAAGTAGTCTTCCCACTTTTTCCTCTTTGCATGTGCACAGAGAGGTGGATAAAACACATGAAAGAAAATCCAAGAGATATAAAAGGGTCACAGTGTAAAAAATAAGCTTCCTTTCCACCTCTAACCTCATTTTCTGTGAGTTCTCCCAAAGACATCCTCACACGCACCACACATACACTCATAAACACGTCTATTCTCATTTGTAATAATGCTAACGCTGGCACACCACGTACTGTTCTGCACCTCTATTTCTGTTTCACTTCACCTTCTACAGACTGCTTCCCCACAAGAACAGATAGTCACTCATGCTCTGAAAGGATGTAGGGTAATGGACAGCTAGCCAGAGCCCTGCTGGGGCCCCTGGAATAGCCATTCTTTTCTTTAAAATCTAGGCTGCCCTGAGTACCCAGCACACACGGCACTCTGCCCACGTGTAGAGCTACCAGGGCTGAAATGTCTGTAAGCAGCATCACTCCCCAGGGCGGCACGCCGGACTCCAAGGGCTCCCTGGCCTGCTCTCGCCACGCCTCCGACTGTGCTACCAACTCTCCAACTCTACTCACAGATGGGAGCAAACTGGTATCTCCCTGCCATTTCAATTTGCATTTCTCTTATGAGTAAGGCTAAACAACTTTTCACATGTTAAGGAGTTTTTCCATTTCTTTCTCTGCTGTAGTTCATGTCCTCTGTCTATTTTCTATTGGGCTAAAGAAGGCAGACTTTGAGAGGACAGAAGAGGCTGTGGACAGGTCATGGACTCTACCCCAAGCTGATCTGAGGGCCCTGGACTCCGCAGGGCTGGGGCAATGACCTGTGCCAGACGAAGGAGCTGGCATACCAAAGCTCCCCTATGGCCGCGTCCCCTGGTGCTGACCATGACCTCAGACTGCGGAGTCTATCTGACCACAGCGAGCCCTGCTTTTGTGTGGCCCCTTTTGACGTCCTCATTGACAATGATTCTGACAGCCCCTTCTGCCTCCAAATTCTTTGACTCTCACGTTCAATGTGCTACTTTCCCGAACATGGACCAGTTTCCTCATTTACACGAAAATGTGCTCAGCAACTGCTTCTTACCTGGAGCTCCCCTGGGTCAGAGTGTGCCCAGAAGGGGGCCATCGTGCACTTGATCTTCCCCTCTGGGTCCATTTCAATGTCCCACCAGGAAAGAACCACCTGAGCTCGACCAGATGCCAGAGGTTCAAACTTCCTGCTGTGGCAAGCTGCTAAGCTACTGACTTGCTTGCTGAAGTCCACGCTGTGGAAGAATATTCAGGAACTTCAACATTTGTTAAGCGCCCACACTCCACTTTTAAGCTTTTATGGTGAAAGCTTATGAGACTTGTCTACAAGGGACTCCTGCCTTCAGAGGCAGGTGATATTGTCTAGGTCTCCTTCCCCCTCAAAACAGAATTTCCAAAGACCCGAATTCCACCAACTATCTCAAAGTGCCATCACCTGGCGTAGCTCCTAGGTACCTGAACATAGGCAGCACGTCGCTGAGGACAGTGAAGTCAGTGGGCGACACCTGGTTCAGCTGAATGTCATAGACAGAGGGTGCACCGGGGCACCTCTCCAGTTCCAGGGGGGGTACGATGACCTGTTCTCCACAGCTGGTCTGAACATGGATGGGAAACAGCTTGTTCCATGACCACATCTTTCTCGACTCCACCAGCTGTGCATAGATGGTTGCTCTGTGAGGTACCGCCTCACAATTTTCCTAGGTTTATATAAAAAAAAAGTATGTTGGCCCACCATAATTTCCACTTACCAAAGATATATTCCTTAACAGAACACCACTCAGCCATTAAAAAAAGAAGAAGAAAAAAGAAATCTTCCTATTTGTGACAACAGGTATGGACCTTGAGGGGTTAGATTAAGTTGAAGTAAGTCAGGAGAAAAACAACTACTGTGTGATTCCACTCATTTGGGGAATATTAAAAGAAAAAAAAAGCAATTAAGCAAACAAATCAAAAACAAATCCACACAACAACAGAAAGGAGGTTACCAGAAGGGAAGGTGGGAGAAGGGAGAAGGTAGAAGGAGCAGATGGTTTGGTGGTGGATGGAGACTGGACAGCTGAAGTGGGGGACCCCACTAGGCAGCTGGGCTTGCGCATGGCGATATAAGTACAGATACTAAGGTAAGAAAATGTACTGTACACCTGAAGCTTCATGTTACCTCAGTAAAAAAGAGAAAGGGAAAAGCAGCACATTCCATAGTAAAAGGCTGGTTTAGTAACAGCTAACATTTTATCAGTTTTTGGACAGCAAACAGTTTTCAACCTGATACCCTTGTAAAAGCAAAAAAGGAACTAGATTTCAAAAAGAATACATACTTCTGCTTGAAATGATTTATGTCAGGTAAGCTCCCAGCTACCTGACACTTAAATACTTCAAAAATAAGCCTTAATTGTCATCATGCTGATCAACTCCCACACTGACACTGAAGAAAGAGCCCAAGTCCTACTGCTGACGTAACCATCATTCTGGCAGCCTCAGAGCCCCCTTCAGTGCAACTCTTTTGGTGTCTTGCCCAGACCAACATACCACAACCTTCTTATCACACAGCCCAAAGGACAAGAGTCCAATATCAACTGACCTGACCTTCTGGCTTCACCTGCCACTGCCAATTAGAATCTTCTCCTGGAGCCTCCCTGGTGGCACAGCAGGTTCAAGTTCAGCACTGTGAGGCTATCCACAGCCACCCTGGCCCAAGTTAGATCCCCGGCCAGAGAGGTGACCCACAGGGCCCAGCAGACCTCTCCTGAGCCGCCCACTGCTCCCCTCAGCAGTGTATTTCAGTAAATCTGCCTGTTCTGCTCCCTTCTTAGTCTCTGGTGAATCTTCCACCCACCCCCGCACCTCTGGTCTGTACCAGTTCTTCTATGCGTAAATAAATAAATCTTAAAGAAAAAAGGAGCTTCTAGCTTGGCTTTGGCTGCAACCTCTTGTCAACTTTCTTCCTACCTCATTCATTCATCTAACCCCCTCTATATTCCAGGTCTTAGGGGCCCAGCTATGAAGCAGGTGACAGCTGCTACTGCATGGAAATGACAAGCACAGGGTTTTTTTTTTACTTCAGTGCCAGTGACCTCTTCGGCCATATGAGCCTTTGCGTGGGGGTGGGGAGTGGTGTAGGGTGGAGAGGGGTTGTTCTGTGCATCACAGGATGCTTAGTAGCTCCCTGGCTGCCACCTACAAGATGACAGCAGCATACCCCTTCTCAGCTGTGATGCAAACAATGTCTCCAGACACAGCTCTGGCTGAGAAGCACTGTTCTCCCCGCTGTCTCCTTCACAGGCAGTGCTTTCTCTGTCCACCCCTCAAAGAGGGGTAGTCTATTTTCTCCCTCCACATAATCTCCTGAGAGACTTCAACCTCTCCATCTTCACTTAGCAAATACCATCATCCAAAGGCCCCTTGGTTCTCTCTACTTCCCACACACTCAGACAGGTGAACCCCTAAACCAGTAAATCATGTCAGCCCCTCCCCACCTCCTCAGGTTTAGTCCTCCTCTTCCACTCCCATCACCAGCGATCTATAGCCCGTGCAGCTGCCCACGCTGCAAACCTGGCACCATCCTCAATCTAAGTGATCATCAACTCCTGATGACTTCCTCCTCGCCGGGTCCCCCTCTCCAGACCCACCCTACAGCCTTGGTGACAGCTCACCTCTGCCAGCACCTAGATGACTCGATACAACCTTTAAGCGTCTCGCTGCGTCTGCTCTTGCTCCCCAATCGCTCTGCACATGCCCTCCTGCATAAACAGGACACACCAATCCTCTGCTGAAACCCACTTGCCTTCTGAAACACACAGCCCAGCTTGGTCAAGACCCTACCCAATAATCCAGGCTTATCATTAACACCACCTCCTGCTCCTCCCACACTATGCAAAATACGATCAACCTTCAAGATCTGGGCATCACCACACCAACTCTACTTCATGTCTGTGTGCACACAGTCCCCTCTCCCATGAGGGGAGAGGGGCACCCCCAACTGCCAGGGCCAACACCAGATCACTCTTCAAGACTGACTCAGCTCAAGCTTCATCTTCCATGACTCCTCTCTGCCCCTACCAGAACAGGCAGTATCTCACCCCACTTACCATCCTCACAGAGTACCTCAAACTGTACTGTAACGATCTGCCTACCTACCCTGTCTTCCTGGGAACTCACCTTCAAAACCCAAAATCTTAATTCCCCAAAAGGGGCCTGGCACAATAAAAATGCTCAAAAATTGTATCTTCAGAGATCACTGCCTGGGTAGTTCAATGCCATATGGACTATTGTCAGACGCACCCGCACCCAGGTGTGTACCAGGAAGAGGTACAGGGCAATGGAAGCCTTTGTGCATAGCCACAATTTCTTTAAGATGCAGGGTAGGCAGATGGGCGCAGTGATTAGAGTGGGCAACGGACACCAGCCTGCTACAGGCCAGCAAGGAGCGGAAATAGCTGCCCGCACAGCTTTTTTATAATGAGAATTACAGAAAGACAAATTGGGACACAAATAACATGACTCTAAACATTACCTATCACAGGGATTTGACTAGTTGGTGGTTTCAACAGAGTGAAACAGGAATTCTTACTTCTGATTACTAGAAAAAGATGTTATACCCTGGAGACAGTGGGGCACCTCCCAGCAAGGGGGCCTGCAGGACTATCTCCACTGCATGCTGCCCATGTAAGGTGGACTCTGGCTCCAAATACCCTAGAAGGAACTCCCCTTCTTCACTCTGGGGGCATGAAAATCCCCAGAGAAGGTCCTAGGCTGGGCCAGTGGTGGGCTCATCTGGATGGTGTCCACCAGGCTGGTGCCAGCAGAAGCAGCATTCACACCTTCCCAGTTCACCTTGGCTTCTGGGTCTCCACCTCCAGCTTCCAAGATAAAAAAGGCCAAGGCTTCAGTATGTCTCTCCACTTTCAAAAAGCCTGCCAAATTGTCACTCTCCAATCCCCCTTAGCTAGAATGGCCTGGCATGCAGGGCCTTACGTAAGGCCTTCCACCTTCTACCCCAGCCTCTGCCATTAGCTCACAAGACCCCCCCCCCCCCACCTCAGGCTGGTGTTCTCACTGACATACCAACAGGTCCTCTCTCTGGGGCACCTCTCCCTCTCCTCAGGGTGTTTCCAACTTCTACCCTTTCTACATGTGCTCTCATCTCCTTCCTGACCTGTGACCTCTTCTGTCAGTCCCAGGCCAAATGGCAGTGGTGCTACTGTCAGCCTCTTCATTCAGTCCATTCAGGAGTGACCACCACTGACCATTATGGGTTAGAGGGCAGAAGGATGTTTTATACTTTTTTCTGGATGCCAGAAAATTTTACCCAGAAAGAATATTTGTTTGAGTGAACTGAATTTGAAGATCGTTTCTTGCCTTTCAACTCTACCAAGACTTGGCAAATATCATAACTGAGGAGAACCAGTCTTGCAGGAGTCGAGGGGTGTCACAGGGTGTATGGAGAAGTACTGGGCATTCAGCAAGGTGTAGCAGCCAGAGCTGTGCAGCCAGCTGGGCCCTACCTGCACGAGGTGCCTGTGAGCATGCTCATAGGAGGGCAGGGCCCCCTCCCCAATCAGCTCTGTGTCAAACAACTCCGTGATGAGGATGTTGGCCCGGCAAGGCATGTCACCATCTGAGAAGCACAAGGAAACAGGCAGAAGCAAACAGATTAGAAAAGATATTTATAGCAAGTATCTGGGGAGTGGGCGAGGGGGAGGGGACTCTAACAGGCTATAAGTTGAAAGCACACACTATGCTGCAGTGTTTGGAAGTGTCACACATCTGCAATGACTGCAATGGTTCAGCCAAAGATCCATTTAGGTATGTGCATCAAACAACTGGTGGCTACAGATGCTAACAGCTGGTCAAACCTGGTTTATCAAGGGACTGAGTTGGCTATACTTCCCTTTCAGCTTTCTGTATGTGTAGTACTACAAGAAAAGAAAATTGTAAGTACCCAAAAAGAAACCAGGCAAAAATACAAATAAATAATTCAAAATGATAAAGATATCAAACACATGGAAAGTTCTTCATTCCAGTTCTTATTAACAACTGGAGAGGGACAAATTAACAAACTGTTAACTATTAAATTAGCAAAAAATATCTGAAAGCAAAATCAAATGCTGATACCTCAGGTTATTTGTAGGTTGCAGAGAGAAAAAAAAAACAAAAGCAAGCGAGCAAGAGAGAGAGAGACTGAAGATCTTCTAGTTACCATGAGTTCAGCTGATTCCACTGACACCCAATAATACCACTGAGATCCACGATTCAGAATCTCAATTCTTTGCATTAAATCTTCTTAGCATTAAATTAAGGTAGTTTCTTGCTACCAAACAATCCCCTAAGTAACAATTGTTTTAGGGTAGTAGGATTATGGAGGATCTTTTGTTAACTCTATTTTCTAAAACTCTGTAATATAATGGTGACTCTTATAATTATAACCTTTAATGAGCTAAGAGACAAAATTACTTTGGAAGGGGCTATTCATCATGAAGCACAAACTATAAAGCACTCCTAATGGCTCATAAATTACAATCTGACAAAGCCCACTCATCTACCCTACACAGAACATGAGTCTCTTGCAAGGGAAGTAATGAAGTGGTTCAAAGAAGGCTGAAGTAGAGGGAGTTTGAGCCTACAGTCAGAGAGCTGGATCTGGATCCTGCTTAGAAAGCAGACACACCAGTCACCTTGCCTGTAAATGGGGGTAGGTGACGAGATCTATCTCATGTGGTAGTTAGGAGAGGAAAGGCTGGAACTGTACACAGCTCCTATGAGGTACATTTGTGCTCAATGATAGTATGAAGTGAAAGGAGGCTGAGAAGAAACTTCTCTCTCCTGGCACAGAGACCTTCCTCCCAAGTGGCACTGCCCTCTTCTCTGATGTCATGCCAAATCTGTTGAAAACATTGTCCCAAACTGAGGGCCTCCCTGGTGGTGCAAGGGTTAAAGTGTCAATGTTATCAAGCAATCTCCAGCCTCAACAGCATGAGTTCAGAGCCCAGCCAGGGAGCTGACCCACATGGCCCAACAGACCTCTCCTGCCTCACTTGCTGCTCCCCTCAGCAGTGTATTTCAGTCAATCCACCTGTTCTGCTCCCCACTCTGTCTCTAGTGAATCCTCTCACTCACTGCACCTCTGGCCTATACCCCAGCTCCTGTATGCATAAATAAATAAAAAATAAATCTTTAAATAAAAAAGATATTGTCCCAAACTGAACCAAACACACCCTATATGTTTTTGCCTAACTGAATGGCACCATCAGCCACTCAGCCCAAAAACCTTGACATCATTTCCTACCTCCAGGAGAGCAGGGACCCTGCCGGTTGTTCACCATGTACCCCAACACCCAGCACAATGGCCAGCACCCAGTAATGCTCAGCATACATTAGCTGAATTCTTGATGGCTCCTTCTCTGTCACTCTACATCCAATCAATCACCAAGCCTCACCAATTCTACCCCCTGAATAATTTTTAAGCCAATTATGTAACTTAGAATGATTTATTGTCCAATTTTGCCTCAAATGAATTAAGCTTTATGATCCAGTGAATTTCAACAAACACTTCAGGGGAGCCTATGAATGCTAATGTATAAGGGTGCAGAGTACTGCAGGAGCCTGAAGAGAGGCAGTTACCCCACATACTCCTAAGTTTTTACCAAATGATTGCATGGGTAAACAAAAACTGCTCCCTGCGCCGGGAGCCCCACAACCCTCCTGTAGCCCACCTCTGGGAACAGGCAACAAACTGATGGCATTTTCAAAACGGGCAGAGAACAGCACCTTGGCAAACACATTTCAGAGAAGAAAGCTGCAAAGGAGAATCACAGCTGGAAGATGTTGCTGAGGCCTGGAAAGAGAGTTTTCCAGAAGAACTGACTGGCAGACGTATTAAAACTGCAGCACTTGCGATGAAAAGCAGAGGGAAGACCATCTGCCTCAACAGTGAGGAAGAGGCTCAACTAATCAGAGGAATGGACACAAAGCCCTATTTACAAAGGGCTAAGAATCAAGTAAAGGTGACAATCTACCCACTAAATAAATATTACCGAGTTCTTGGCTGTGTCAGGTGCTGTGCAATGGAACAGAAAACTTACCACGACACAAAGGCCATGACCTCAGGATGCCTCAGCTGTGTGAGGATACAGACATTAAATACAGAGTTACATAAATGCTTAATTATTATAGTGGTAGGGGCGTAAATGGCTAAGTACTGAGCGCATAAGGGGCCTGCCTAATGCAGGGCACAGCGCGTGGCCTGAGGAGGCAGTCCCAGGGAGAGAGACATGGCAGCGGCTGCTCTGCGGGCAGTCTCCGTGCTGTCAAGACTGATCAACCTTTCAAAAACAGCTGATCTCCATTTGTGGCCAAAATAGAGTAGTGGGGATCAGATTTATTCACCACTGTAATCAGCTAGAAAACGACAAAATATATGAAATACTATTTTTCAGATTTTGAACAAAAGGTCTGTTTGTACCCCAAGAAGAGAAACACAAAAGTGACCCCTGCTGCTGCTCTGGCCTTCAGCCAGCAGGTGCTGTCCAGAGTGCGGGAGAAGTGAGGAGTCCCACAAAGCAGAGCTGAGTTCAGTACTCAGCAGCTAGAGTTTAGGGAAGGTGAGAGGGCTGGGGCCTTCTCTGTGTAAGTTACACAGAAAAGGGACTTCAGAAATCTGAACAGTGTTCCCTTAAAAATGGCTGGATATACTTTCACACAGGTAAAACTAGAAGGTCATGTAACTATAAACTGAACAATTTCTAGGGCTCATGGAAGACTGGTAAGTATTCTAGTGCTGCTCACATAGTACCCAGGCACTCAGCAGAAGGCCCGGAAAAGGCCTGCTTTAGTAAGGATAAAATAGCCTTAGAGCAGGGGTTCTCAACAGAGCGTGATGTTCCTGAACCCCCATCTCCTTATCCCCATGGTGATATTTTTGGTTGACACAAATGGCTTTCTTTTTGGGGGGGTTTGGAGGTACTACAGGCTTCTACTGGTTAGAAGTGGGAGGGTTCTACTCAATCTATAATATACAGAACAACTCCCAACAACAAGGTACAAGGTATTATCAGATGTAAAATGTCAATAGTGCCACTGTTGAAAAACCATGACTAAAAGCTACTCTAACTGTGTTTAACAAAGCTCAAAAGCAAGACTTTGAAAGGATCAAATTCATCTGCAAGTAACTTAACTGTGTGCCAAACAAGTTCTTACACAGACAACAAAATCTAACATGCACCAATAAAAAAAAATTCCATTATCCACAACATTTCAGATAAAGATTACTAGACATGGAGGGCCTCCCTAGTGATGCAGGGGTTAAGTCTCATTACTATGACGCTATAACCAGCCACTGTGGAATGAGTTCGATGCCTGGCCAGGGAGCTGACCCACATGGTGCAGCAGACCTCTCCTGTTCCACCCGCTGCTCCCCTCAGCAGTGCATTTCAGTGCATCTGCCTGTTCTGCTCCCCACTCTGTCTCTGGTGAATCCTCTCACTCCCCCTGCCCCATACCTCTGGCCTATACCCCAGTTCTTGTATATATAAATAAATAAAATAAATCTTAAAAAAAAAAAAAAACAGGCCCTCCCTTGGTGGCACAGCTGGTTAAAGCACAGCCCTGAGAAGCTAAAGCCACTTCAGCACGAGTTCAATCTGCGGCCAGGGAGCTGACCCACATGGCGAGGCAGACCTCTCCTGACCTGCCTGCTGCTCCCTTCAACAGTGTACTTCATTGATCTGCCTGTTCTGCTCCCCACTCTGTCTCTGGTGAATCCTTTCACCACTCATGAACCTCTGGCCTGTACCCCAGTTCTGTATGCATAAATAAATAAACCTTAAAAAAAAATTACTGGACATGCAAAGAAAGTATGACACAATACCAAGATAAAAATCAGTCAATGGAACAAATAGGAAAAATAGAAATGGTGGAAGCAGAAAGAGTGTTGACTGCTGGAACTGCTAATACAAATATGTTAAGTAGTCAAAGAAACACATGAACATAAATGAGAAAAGTGGAAGTTCTAAAAAATGAACTAAATTGGGACATTTAGAAACACAGTAATCAGGGGCCCACCCTAGTGGCACAACAGGATAAAGCACAGCACTATGAAGCTATTGGAACCAGTAACTATAGCACGAGTTCGATCCCTGGCCAAGGAAGTGACCCACATGGCATGGCAGACCTCTCCTTTATCATCCATTACTCACCGTAGCAGTATATTTCAGTCAAACTGCCTGTTCCCCATTCTGTCTCTGGTGAATCCTCTCGGCCCCTCCCTTCTTCCACACCTCTGGCGTGCACCCCAGTCTTTTCTTTTTTTTTAAGATTTATTTATGCACACAAGAAAGGGGATATATGTCAGAGGTGCGGGGGATGAGAGGATTCACCAGAAACAGAATGGGGAGCAGAATAGGCAGATCTACTGAAACACACTACTGAGGGGTACAGCGGGCAGTACAGGAGAGGTCTGCTGCACCATGTGGGTCACCTCCCTGGCTGAGGATCAAACTCTTGCTGCAACGACTGTGGATAGTTTCATAGTGCTGTGCTTTAACCCATGTGCCATCAGGGAGGGTCCCAGCCCAGCCCTTATATGCATAAATAAATAAAACAAATCTTAAAAAAAAAAAACTATATTGATATCATTACCTCTTCAAGAAGCTTCCTTTGCTATCTTCCCACAATGCTATTCAAGCATTAAAAGCATGTGAAATTTCAGAAGTAGCATTCAACCTCCTAATTATATCCTGGCCACCTGGAGCCTGTGCTATGCAGTCAAATCTCTCATGTGAGATGCTGAAACATGATGTCAAGTATCTTTCTGCTATCTACTTAGTTTTATTCTTGTTTGATGAAACTTGAAACTAGAGTTGAACCACAGAAAACTTGTAATTGCTTAAAACAAAAGGAGATTTCATTTGTGTCACCCCAAATATACTAGATTAGCTCTGCTTTGCCCATTGCTGCTTTGTGTTAACTAGTAGAGATGCAAACTGTTTACCTACATACCACCACATGGAGAGCCACTATTTCCACGCAATTAGCCTAGCATGTTTATCCCAGTTCACTGGAGTAAGCGATCTCCCCCCTAAGAGTAAGGATGTGTTCATCTTACCTGGTCCAACAGTCACTTCAGTGGAATGCTTGTTGATAACCTTAATCTTATCACTGAAGCCATTTTCCTCCACAATCTTCACAGCAGCATCAGCCATAGGCTTGAAAACCTAGAAATTAGAGCCAAACCAGGAAAAAATAAGCAATAAATTAAACGTCTTAATATCCAAGATTAGCAAGATGTTCCTTGACCCCCTTCCTAAGATTTGAAGTAAAAGAGGCTTTCACTTCTGGATTCCCTTCTAAATATACAAAATGCTCCTTTGTTACAATTCAAGATGTAGGAAAAATGCTTCTTTGGGCTAATTTAAAATAAACAAGACTTCATCTGAGTAACTGACACACTTTATTCTCCAAACATGTGTCATGCGAATGAACACAAAGGACTAAGATTCTGCTGAGTTTAACCTGCAACTAGGAATTCCCATTCCATGCCAGCATCAGAGGGGATGAGGATGAGAATGGCAGGTTATCTGTGCCACACTAGAGGGAGCCCGCAAAGAACTGGCCCCGCAAAACCATGAGCCTTATGCCATGCTCTCTGTGCATGAGAGAGGAAGACTGTCATTTGTCACACTGAGTGTGAGCAGGTCCCCGTCCTGCTCACAATGGTCCCAAATCCCCACTATTGGCAAGTTGTTCCTCCATAATACAGAACACCTGCCACTGTCTTACTCCCCAGACCCGGCCCACACCTACCCCGGCACTAACAAACACTGCAGCCACACTAATCTCCCCACTTTGCTTTGGGTAAGCCCAAGCCTTCTCTGCCCACCTGCTGAAGCAAACCTGACTTTCTGGGCAGTACAAGTCTCCCCTGTCCAGAAGACTCAATATCCCTAAACATCAGTCCCTCCAACTCCCACTCTCCAACTGACCCCACAGCTCTAAGCACATTAGTTCATGAAACATACAAACACACATGTAGCCACACACTCGCAGAAAGTCAACAAGATGACAAAGTGACCAGTCACACTGACACAATTTTCAGTTTTTTTCTGAGTCCGTTAGTTTTTCACACTTCCTATCATGAACACATTCCTTATTTTCTAGCATTTCTGTTTCTATAATCAAGGAGGAAATGGCCTATCATATAAAGAATATGTTTGTGCTTGCAAGGGAAAAAAACATGTTCACAATCAGTTTCAAGTGACTTCTAGGACCTGGCTTGATGTTCTAAGATGTACCTTAAGGGCCTCCTCCCTCAATTCTTTCCAGACCTTTGCCTCTGCCCCCAAATACTCCATGTTTATCCCAAGCAGTGCTCCTGCCTCTTGCCAGGTCATTCATCTCCTCCCCTGACTCTTCAGGCTCTGAGAGTTACAGCAACCGTCAGGACTTTTCACCTGGACGTATCACCCAATATTCCCACCAGGCTAAGAATACCTGTAACTTTCAAGATAGGAGAGTTACAATTCCTTACCACAGGACTCAGGAGTTTCACAACCTGGGCATCTCTATGATACTCTTTGCCAAAACACTGGATGACAATGTTCCCCAAACACTAGAGTATTCCTTCAGCCTAAGATGCCCACTTTTCCAGACCATAGGCCACACTGCAGGGGTGGTGGGTGGGTATGTGAAAAGAATCTGGGAAGGATGCCCTGGAATGTTCCCAATCTTTATGTAAAAGAGCAAAAAATTTCTACCTTGTTTAAGCCACCATGGTTTGGAAACTTTGTTATTTGCACCTCACTCTCCTTAACCAAAGTTCTTCCAGAAACATTTCTGAATATACCCTTTGTGGGAGAGCACACAGCAAAATTTTAACAATGGTTAACTTCGAGTAAACATACTATTTTTATTCTACATTTACCAAGTTCCTATAATGACATGTATTATTTACAATCCGAAAAAAACATGTTTAATGCTTTATTTAAAGAAATAACAGACTGCTAGATTACTGGTAAACATAATCTGATAACTGGCTCTGCAGGGCCACGTGAAGTAGAGGGCTTTGCTACTGTGATGTGCAGGGGGACGCCCCCACATAGAAAATCCCGATACCCAAGCCACACTATAGAATAATTCAATCAAAATCCTGGTGGCGGGGTTGAGGGGAGAAATCTGGTCAACTAGGAATTAATGTTTTTTTAAAGATTTATTTATTTATTTATGCATACAAGAATGGAGTATAGGCAAAAGGTGTAGGAGGGTGAAAGGATTCACCAGAGACAGAGTGGGGAGCAGAACAGGCGGATCCACTGAAATCCACTGCTGAGGAGAGCAGTGGGTGAGACAGAAGAGGTCTGCCAGGCCATATGGGTCAGCTCCCTGGCCAGGTACTGAACTCATGCAGTAGTAGCTGCTGATAGCTTTACAATGCTGAGATATAACCCCTGCATCACCAGAGAGGCCTGGCATTAGTATTTTTAAAAGCTCCTCAGCAGGCCCTCCCTGGTGGTGCAATGGGTTAGGAAGCAGCACTGCAAGCTAGCCGCAGCCACTGCAGTACAAGTTCAATCCCCAGTCCCGGAGGTGACCTCATGGCATGGCAGACCTCTCCTGACCTGCCTGCTGCTTCCCTCAGCAGTTTACCATGTCGATCTGTCTGTTCTGCTCCCCATTTTATCTCCAGTGAATCCTCTCACCGCCACTGTACCTCTGGCCTATACCCCAGTTCTGTATGCATAAATAAATAAATATTTTTAAAAAAGCTCCTCAGCGGATGTGGAGAAAA